ATTTCAGGAACGTCAGCAATATCATCGCATGTCAAATTAAAATTAAAATGACTCACAACTGTACTCAGGAAAATTATGTTCAACAGTGTTTTGCACTCGGCATACATATATATGGCTGCCCAGAGTCAGGGTCACCTAGAGGTTGCGCGGGGCCCGAACCAAAACTTTCCTAAAGGCCCCTATATATGACGTCACAATTGTAAAACAGGTAAGGCGGTGTTTTACAATATTTTACACTTTATTGCATATTTCCGGCACTAACGCAGCTAGGATTTGTATTCTCAGTTAAGTAATTCTGTATCAAGAAATTATTTAACAAACTTCGTCGCTTTGGGGGCCCCTTTTGGGCTGGAACTCAAGGGCCAAATGCCCCCCCCCCATCTCAGCGGCCCTACCTATAAAGTTGCTACGACTCTAGGGCTAAAAGCCACTGCTAACAAGGGGGTGACAGCATGATAAACGTGACTGGAATATCTATTTTTGGTTCTACCAATTCTTCAATCAGTGTTTTCAAAATGAAGAAACTAAGAAAGTAATATGTAACTTGAAATTAAACATTTCGGCACAGCGAATCTATTTCATGTTATAGAGCCATAGGAATTATCTAATGGGATTATGGTATAGGATCAACGGTATTATTTCCTTTCAAAAACTGAGGAAAAAGTAAATATTTTCCTCCTAAATATTTTGAATTACTAAATTGCAAAAATATTGACATTCCTGGAAGGTTCAAATATTTTTCCGAAGGTTTCTCAGAAACACTCAGAAATTACTATGAATCCTGGCGGATTTAACAACAAATTCAGAAAGTAACTGCGTTGCACTACATATACTGTCGGAATACAATTTTATTTATAACAGATTACCAAAACCGCGTCAGCATGTTTTCCTCAAAAGGGAATGCGACTATATACATTCCTGTATTCCTACATGCACGTGATCATATACATGCACGTGATCATATACATGCACGTAATTCTTGCGATATTTTATGAAGTTAGTGTGAAGGCATATATGGGCCTATACCTAATGTTGAAATGATAGCAAGTAAAAATAATACCATATAGGGAAGTTATCTATTATTTTCCACTTTCTTATATGGAAACATAATTTTGAAAATAACCCGACATCACGTTTGATTTGAAACTGCAGACAAAGCAATTTTCTTTCATATTTAGAAAGATATTATACTGACAGTGACAGTTATTGTGAAGACTCAAACATGAATACAAAAGACGACCAGAGCCAGAGGGAGAACTCCTGCGTGAAAGCGCCCAGTGAGCCTACCCACCAACAAAAGTTGACCGAGGAAGAAAAGAAAGTGTGCAAAGAAATTGGACAAATTCTTTCCCAAGTAGGGGACGATTTATATATAACATATTACCAAAACCGCGTCAGCATGTTTTCCTCAAAAGGGAATGCGACTATATACATTCCTGTATTCCTACATGCACGTGATCATATACATGCACATAATTCTTGCGATATTTTATGAAGTTAGTGTGAAGGCATATATGGGCCTATACCTAATGTTGAAATGATAGCAAGTAAAAATAATACCATATAGGGAAGTTATCTATTATTTTCCACTTTCTTATATGGAAACATAATTTTGAAAATAACCCGACATCACGTTTGATTTGAAACTGCAGACAAAGCAATTTTCTTTCATATTTAGAAAGATAGACTGACAGTGACAGTTATTGTGAAGACTCAAACATGAATACAAAAGACGACCAGAGCCAGAGGGAGAACTCCTGCGTGAAAGCGCCCAGTGAGCCTACCCACCGACAAAAGTTGACCGAGGAAGAAAAGAAAGTGTGCAAAGAAATTGGACAAATTCTTTCCCAAGTAGGGGACGATTTAGAGGAGAGAGCATTTACGCCAAGCACGTCGTGTTTACTGTTACGCCATGAAAATACCAACACGGCAGAGATTATACAAATCAGGGATTGTTGATCGATGGAGCTTGTATTTGACTTGTGACAATGTTATTATTTTAATAGTTTCATAATAAATTGAAGTAATTGGGGAATATTTCTAGGGCTGTGGCAAACAAAAGGTGACCTTGACGTGAGATAAGTGTTTGACAACATTCCGTGCACATCAGCAACAAAACATGTCAGGAAAACCACTGATGGGGAAAACTTGTTGACCGTAACACACGACTACACGAGAAAGGACATTTGTCAAGAAAAACTTCCTCGTCGTACATGTCTTAACTGTAGACTAGCTTCTATTGTCTTGACTTGTTTTACGTCACACTTATTAATAGTACTTTATTTATACCATATTTAAAAAACTCATCAATAATTCACGAGGAAATGACAATAGAAATCACTACTGTGTCAGTGGTTTTATATGTGATAATAAATCTAGTTAACTTACATGAACTCTCGCTTTGATTTTCTTGGATTAGATAGCGTTAATTTTTAAAATTAGTTTGCCAATGAACTCAAAAGATGGGTCGTTTTTTTAAGTACTATTTAAAACACAAGCAGGAGTGCTTTATCAGATATAAAACACTTGGCTGTCACCTCGTGTTGCATATCTGATAAAACACTCCTATACATACAGACTAGTCTGCATGGCAGGCGGTCCAAGCCCGATTTTAGGGACCGCCTGCTATGCAGGCTACAGCCTGCTATGCAGGCTACATACAGACATATAATAACTTACCTCTCTGAAGACGGTGTTCCAGTAGCCTCTATACAATCCTTTGAACCCCTATTTAAAATCAATAAAAATTTTAAATATTGAAAATTCTGTTTTACAATATTTGCAAATTCTATCAAAAATATTCCAACCAACTATACCTCTTGTGTCCAAGTGTACTTAAAAGTTTGCAAACTGGATAGTTTCCTATTAGCTTGGGCTCTCTGCTTTACCACCTCAAAAGGAACTCTGACCACATTTGAAGTCTTTTGATGAATATAAAATATATAAAGATATAACAAAAATTTTAAAAATTATTCAGATATTTTCCATCAACATTAAAACCTCACAAATATTACCAACTCTCCAATAGATGCTGCCACCATGTGGATATATGGAGTTGGGACATTTGGTAGCCATAGAGCAGAACTTTTTACAATTTCATAGGTGCAGAAAAATGTTGCAGCTGCAATTACAAAAGAGTCTATTTATTAAAGATTCATTTCTCTATAAAAACCATGCATGCATGTGATACTTTTAAGTATCACATGCATGTTTTTTATCACATGCATGTTTTTGTTTTTTTAGCCTATTAAAATAGGCTCCGGTTATAGTCTATAGCCAAATTTTCAGTAGCCAAATTTTCAATGATTGTTGGGTGTGTTGCTACACCTACTCTATAACTTATAGAGTAGGTGTAGCAACACACCCAACAATCATTGAAAATTTGGCTACTGTATGTAATCACTTATGAATGCAGACTTTTTCTGGGGTGTAATTGAAACATATATGCACCAGTCTTGAAGTTAATAATAACAACATAATCAATTCTGTTCTCCATGCAACTGTTCAAACATGCAACAATACTGAAATTCAGTAAGGCCAAATCAAGGCCCTTGCAACAGGTAGTTGCAGAAACGCTGTCAAATCTGATTCATGAAGAACGAATCAGCTGGAGGTATTTGAGTTCTTGGAAATCTGATGGAGTGCCCAACTACAATCTCGCAATAGCTTTGGGTACATTGATTTGGCCCAACTATTGAACTAAGTTGGTGAACAATCCAGTATTAATAACCTACCAGCAGGGGCTGAACCAGCAGCGGCAGAACCAAGACCAGAGTAAACACCATGAAATCCGCCCGCTTTGAGAAAACCTTGTGCGGACTGCACCCGCGTTTTGATGGTATCCAATGGGAATAATGCAATATCAACACATAATCCCGCAGTTCCACCAGCCTTATTAAGGAATTATTACATAATTTACAGCACACTCCCCAATTACCCAAAAATTGGGCAGTTTTTACAGTTTTCTTGGGGTGCCACATCTATGGAAAGTGTTTATCACAGCACAGTTTTGATGTCATTTACTCATTTGTATAATTTAATACTACAAATTTTTCCAAATACCAGGCTTGTGATTTCAAAACTTTCTAACCAGAAGGAACAAAGCTAAAAATCGGGGGGGGGG